CACATGCCCAAACATGAATGGTTCTTAGAAAACAGCTCACATGGATTATGCATCCCTGTTTTCTGACCGGGAATATTTTTTATCTTAACTTGCAATAATCCATCCTAAAGCACATGCTCTCTCATTTCTCTAAGGATTCACAACTAACCTTATATGCCTCGCTCAACCCCTCACATTTCCTTAATTTAATCAGCTACTTACGTACTCCCAACAGATGGCTAACATATAAAATGGTTTTTGTGATGGAAACCAAAAAGATTAACATACGTTTAAATTTTATACAGATGTTTCATATAAAACTCATACAGATGTGTAATGCTGGACTGACACATCACTTAACAGGATTTTTTAAAAAATACTTCCTGTTATATTTAACTACTTACAGTAACCATTAAATTAAAATAACAATGGAAGATCCTATCACAGGCATGTACATTGGCTTGAAATTTACTAAGGCAAACTCCCTTTTGCCTCATAGTTCATTTCAAACGTCCTCCAAAATACAATGAAAGTAAGGAAGGGTTGAGTGAACAACAGTGAAAGCAGTGGGCCATGGAATTACTAGAGGGGACAATGTGCCCCAAAATTCATGGAGTGGTACACCCGTCACTCTAATCATGAGTTACCTATGAAATTTCAAAGAACTAAAATAGTATCTTTACTAAAACCATGCTGCTTCCACAGTATCAGAGAGGAAGAATGTGTGGTCCTTGAGATGTTTTTGGACTAGAACCTGTTCCACCACTCTAATTTTTGTGCCACATGGATTTACGTTGGTTTCAGGTGCTGTTGTTTATATTATGCAATATTTATATTTAGGTGATTGCTGTTTTTTATGTAAATGACTAAGAATAGTGCCACAAACCAACAAACATCCCTTATTATTGGTTATACTGGCTAGGGCTATGGAAGTTGTACTCCCACAATCCTATGAGTGCCCACAATCCAAGTTGAGGGCAACCCACAACCAACCAACCTCTGGTAATAAGCTGCTTATTATGTGCATTACTTATATTTTTATATTTTTCTCTTTCTTGTTATCAAGTCCTTACTTAAAAAATTGAACTGAGCTGACTGACCTTCTTACTCGATAAGCCTCAGAGACTTCCCTTCTTAATCATGAACACTCATTCCAAGTGGTACTTGTCTCTCAAATATTCCCTTTCCAAAGCTTTCTAAAAATTTACTGATGTAAAAAACTGTTTATCTTGACAATATCACTTACAATATCCCAAATCCATCAAGAGCAGGATTCCCCTGTGCTCTGGTGGACAGGTTGCTGTCCTCTGAAGATGCTGGCCACAGAGACTGATCCCAAATCCATCAAGAGCAGGATTCCCCCACCTGCACAACATACTAACAAAACAGAAGTAGTCTTGTTGAACAGATAACCAAACTCCGTAATGCAATACTATTAGTTAGGGTTAAGTCACATCCAAAGAACCCGAAAAACCCAGAACAACCAGAAGTAGTCTTGTTGAAGAGATAACCAAACTCCATAATGCAATACTATTAGTTAGGGTTAAGCCACAGGAGATGTGCATTGCAGAAGTACGTAGATCAAGAACAGAATATGAAAAGTATCTACGTACAGAAGAGGTGAAATGATGACAGAATCTTGTGGTGCCTGATGACTGCTTTTCCAGGATTTTTCCCTTTGGTTAATATTTAGATTGTGCCTGTGCCTCTATACTGCAGTACAACCTGCACATGGAAAAGTTTGTAAAATGCTGCTAGGATATTGCTATGAGACTGAAAAAGATTCCCCCCCCCACACACACACACAAGGCAGCAGTTATGGATGGGATTTTTCAGTTTCTGGACTACAAATACCACCATTCTGATTTCTTACTTTGCAGAGACCTCAGTATGATACACTTAGAAGAAAAGCCTGAATTATAAGTTTTTTAAAATTTACTGATACATAAACTGCTTAGCTAAGCCTAGTTTTAACCAAGCTTCCCATTTCTGTTCCAGTGCTAGGTGGGAGCTTTCTTTCGGAGTAGGAAACCTGTTCATTTTCCAGTTGTAGCATGAAATACATGTTCCCCCAAACCCTGATCTGTAGGATCACATATGCATTCTTTCTCAGACTGCATCTCTAAAATTATATCAGAAGATCACTTTTTGCTCTGTTGCAAAAGCACTGAGGAAGAGCAACTATTACTGTTAGCAAACATTAAAAATCAGACTGTTGTCTAATGAACATTTATTTATCTATGCAGAGGATTTTACATGCGGAGTGGGGCATTTGTTGACTTACCTATTTTATCATGTTGTATCACAATCTAATTTTCAAAGTCAGAGGAGGTTAGAAAGCAAAATATAAATATGCAGACAAAGAGAGAAATAGGAACTAGTAAAAATAAAATGAAACAAAAACATCTTGAATATCAATCTCCCTGACCATGTCTCTGGATCACAATCACAAAGCTGAAACTAAACAATGGCCAATGTAGCTCCAATGATATAAAATGACTAGTGAAGATGTTACATGGAATGCTGAAGTGGCAGTAACCATTTTAAGGGGGCTGAAGTGTTTATCAAATTTCTATGATCGAACACCAAAACGGCAATGCAGGAAAAGCACAATGAAAATGTGTTTCAGAGTAATACAGATGATTAAAATTTTATCATGAAAACAAGACCAAACTGGCTGCACAAGTCTACAATCCTGACTTCACTTAAAGGATCCTGAAAGGCCTAATATTTAATGTAATCTGTACTTTATAATTAAATAAATGCCAAATAAATCATTAAAAGAAATGTCAACCCCATCATTGGCAGCTGTTTTCCCTGCTAAAGAGGGAGGGAAGTGTATGAGTAGGGCAGCTAGCAAACCCCACAGCGGTCTGCAAAGTCACTAGTGGGAAAACAACAAAGGCCTTTCCATGCAACTAACACAGATGTGCCCATAGCCAAACTGTCAGAAACAGTTAAGATGACAGCTACTCACAGTTCATTATTTCCTTCTCACAGGTCACTGGGTGACAAGCTGGGTCACCATGCTTTGTTGGCTGCTACAGTTCTCCCCCAACAACCTCTATTCAATTTAAATAAAGGTAAGTTGCTCAATTTAATATAATAATGCAAACAGCAGCATCTTTGCACTGAGAGGTGGAAGGGGGAAAAAAAAATAAAACAGCCTTTACATTACTTCTGAACCAACTGAGTTACATTTGTATTTCTATGTCTGTGATGGGAAGAGAAAAAAATGAATCTGAATTATTTAGCTTCAACAGAGAGCTGAGAAATTTTGTCAAGATGCAACTAAAGCATGTAATGAAAGTTAATTTGTCCTCAGTTCAAAGCTTTAACCTTTAGAACATTTATATGGCAGATTAATCATGAGGAAAAGCTGGATTTTCAGTGAAAAGATTCCCTCCTGCCTAATTTCCTCAAAAAGGAGGGGAAAGGAGATGTTTAACTAATTCATAAAGCATTTCCAATGTAGAAATTCAAACAATTTTTAAAATGAGAGAGTTCTTAGTTACATCTAAATAAATTCAGTATTTCATGTCTAATATATACTTTTTCCTTTTCTCCTCCACCGCCCCTCACCCATTTTTTGTACAAAAGGTAGGTTGCAAACCTATATTAAAGCAAGAGGTTCTCCAAAGCATCCTTTCAAAACCTAGTTTTAATTACATGTCTATGAAGGAATTCAAGAATGTTCTCCAGTGTGTTTTAACTCATACTGGAAACACATAGGTAAGGCATTCACAATCGCACACACTCTTTGTTAAATTACAGTAAGTATTTCCTCTGCACCATTACTACATTTTGATAGCTGCACCATCCTGATGTTTTGGTAGGGTTATTATTATACCACATAAGAAAGAATTTTTTTCCTCAAAATCTACCAGTTTTCCCCTTTGGATATTCGGAAAGCAGAAAATTAATACACGGGACAATACCAATCCAGTGCCTCGCAGAGAGCAGCCAATATACCAGAAGCATATTATACTACTTTGTTCATCTGCCATCTGCACTGGTGGCCATTGCCTTTTCCAGGCTAAATTCGAAGTGCTCATTTTAATTATTACAGCTTTGAACAACTCAGGCCTGAACAACTCAGGGCCAGGTTATCTGAAGGAGCACCTCTTGTCATATCTACCAATCTAGACCCTAACATCATCAAGACACTCCTCCAGGTACTGCCAGCAAATGAGGCAGGGTGGCTATAAGTGAGAGGGTGTTTTTGGTGAGGGACCCATGAAATGCATTCTCTAGAGAGAATCACCTCGTTTTTTCAGCATCATCTTTTTTTCCCCAAGGTATTAATTTTTTTTTTTTGGAGTTTTCAGATCTTGTTGCGTTTTTTGTTTCACTGCTGGTGTAAGTTAGGTTTAATGTGCTATAGTAATTTTACTCTCTGATTTTATGTGTTGTTTAAAATACTACAAAAACTTTGGAGAATTTTTAAAATAGTTGTTCTTTGTTATGAAAGTTCTAAGCACACTTGAAAAGATCCAATTTCTCAAGAATCCAGAATTCACCTCCCTTGGAGGAAAGCTCTGATCAAATTCCCCCCCCCAATATCTATATTTTAGGTCATCATTGCACATCAGTTTATAAATAATGTACTTATATAAATGTTTATTCAGCAGAACAAACCCAGATAACCTTGTACAGTACTTGGAATATATTGCATAATGCCTAAGACATGTACTTGACAGGTGTTTCATAAATATAAATAATAAATAACCTAATGCCATAAAACGATAACTTTAATATCAGGGTATGATTCATGCATAATCATTTAATAATAAATACCTCAGTGATCCTCTATGATAAGCGCACACATCAATCTCTCTTCTTTTTTTAACTACATAAATGTCACCCCTTTTCATTAGTTTTGGTCAAAACTCCATGTCTCCTTACAAGCCAGAGGGCTTCTGAGATATTTCAATAATATCCAGGAAATCAATCTTACACGAAACTGAAGGAAAACATCTAATGTCATTGAACAATAAATATCAGTTCTGTCAGTAGCTTACCTTTGAGCAGAGGCCTTAGGATGTTTCTCTTCCAATTTCCTCACCAGCGCTACTGTCAGTTGCCCATTCTCCCTTAAGGGACCTTCAGGCATTAAGTGGGCGTCCAAAGGTCCTGAAAGTTGTTTCTCACTGCAATTTGAGACACTATTTTGTAGCTCCTAAGAAATTAAGAAAAAACATATGGCTAATACATTGTTCATTATAATAATCTTTAGTGTGAATAAAGGCCTTTCAGCAGGTAGAGAATTTTAATGAGTCATATTAGTCTATCAAGAGGGACCTATTGAAATAACACAGGGAAACAATTAAATCTAGACTCTTTTCTTTTAATGCTTGTATATTTTGTTATTGTTTGGGACAAGCTGTTTATCAAAACAAATATATTAAAAATAGGGAGATAACAGCAACTCTTTTCATAATATTTTCCCCTAAAAAAATACTGGCTCTAACCTGCCTCTGGCTTGGTACAGTGACCTCTTCTGCTGCGTTGCTATCTGTCTCTTGATGACCTGCAGACTGGGCCCCATGGTGTGTGCAGTATTCCGTCTCGGTCACCTCCTCTCTTACATTTAGCTCCTCTAGGTAGGTCAGAACAAACTCAGGGTAAGCCTGTAGGAAAGGACAAAGACAGCATAGTAACACCAGGCTGTAATCAGTGGACGTACAACCATCTAAGATTAAATATTAGGAAGGATGGGAGAAAAAGTTGCTGATAGTAGGCAATGTCATAAAAAGTTATGTTACTGGTATATAACTTTTAATTTCCTAAACCTTTTTTCACTTAGGCTGTTGTGAAAGCTGTTCTGGTCATTAAAGTAAATCTGTAACAAATATGCAAACCACAGTGTGGAATATAAGGTATGGGAAAAAAACAAATTATGTATTTGTTAGACATTGTCATTTTATGTGATATTAGGAATGGCAAAAACATATGTGTCAAACACTCATTTTCTTCTCAAATGCTCTTTTTTCTTCAGTATATGATTCCACTAATGTGTTTTTTGTTCTCAGTGTAGAATTCTATTCTTCACATACTGCACCTTGTCTCTTCCTCATTATCATATATCTACTCTTCCCTTTCATGTTCTTCATTTCCCACTTTCCATCTTTAAATCCCTCTTCAAACATGTGATTCAATTTCTTTGCATTGGCATGAGGTGGTGGTCTAATATTTAGAGGGAACTTAGTTTAAAGGCAATATTTTCTTTATAAAGTATGTTTACACTACCTTCTATCAGGCTGGGGTGCAACTGTGAAAATTTAACTAACTTTAAAAAAATTAAAACAATGTCACATTTCAGACAAAACATACATCTTACTGTACAAAATCCTAGCCATGATCTCACCATGAGTTCTTTCATTTTGGGTTTCCCAATTGTGTTTCTGGCCCTCCAAAAGCCTTAAAGAACCCTGAAAGACTACTCCAAAAAAACAGAGGCATGTAATATAGAATCAATCTACTTTAAAAGCAGGCAACAGTATTTGAGAAAGAAAAATAATTAAAACCCACCAAAAACACAGAATAAATGCACAGTAAATTGACCAAATTACAATAACAAATTAATTAAACATAGAAAGCCCCGCCAATGGGGTGAAAATGACAATTAAAACACACAATCATCTCTCCCAGTATCAAGAAAAACAAGCAAACAAATAAAAGCAAAACAAAAATAATCAAAACACCCAAACCGAAACTACTACAATATGGGGAAATTTATCTCCCCTGTACCATTTGATTTCTTTTCTTTGACTTCAACAGGCGGCAGCAGGTCAATCAGTAGTAAAAATTATTCAAGAAAGGAAAGGGCCCCAAAAAGAGAAGGAAAATTAGGAGGAATTCAAAAAGTAATCTCAAAATTGAAGCAAAAATAACACTCTTCACTGAGTTCCAGGACTTTTCACAGATTCCACTGCCCTCACCAATGGTCTGATTGGCTGCTGACAACCATCATTGGCCACACTATCATGTTTTACAATAACCTTCACAATTATATTGAAAAACTTTTTTCAGGCAATTTGGCATACAAAGGTTACACGAAAGAGGAACACGAAAGAAACACAAAACTTTCATGTACTTCTTTTGTTAACTTGAATAATTTATTTCTTAGAGGCTTTATTTTCGTATCAATGAAAAAACACAAAAGTGAAAATCTACTTCCTGATTCTTCCCTTTTGTTTAAATATGAAAAGCCAATTCTGAGCACAATTTAATAAAACTGTTTTCATACTTTTAGATTAGCATTTTGATTTGTGTATGAGAGTATTTTCTTTCAAATCTTCCCTCTGATGAATTGTAGAAAACTTTGTATAATGTAAAGTAAAAGAATCACACAAGCCAAAATTAAATATTTTTATCTCACAATTACATATATATATCTCCTTGCTTATCAAAGTAGGATTAAATTATTTATGACATTAGATGGCAATGATTTGTATAGGACCAAAATTATTGATATTTAAGACATGCAAACAGTAGCTTTTTTAATTAATGAGAAATGTAATTCTAGAGCTGCAGATATTCATTTCAGGGAAGTGAGATTTTCCTTCAGTTAGAATATTGTGGCACATGTTGGCTGTGATTCTGTAGCTTAGCATAGTAAATTACAACTAGAGTAGTGGGAATTTGGTAAATCAACTCCTTTGTAAGTTCCATTAATTCAAATGTGCCTACTCTAGTTGTGACTTAGGAGCAGTTTTTCCCCACCCCTGATCTATAGTATGATGTACAGATTACTGAATGGGTTTACAACTGGCAGCCACCCAGTAACATACCCCAGAGGTACGTACTAGGCCAACATAGATTAATCTAGCTAGAACTCAGAGAATAAAAGAAGAAATGAAGAGTATGCAGAACAAATAACTCAGGCAAGTGGGGCTGGTCAGAGTTCATACATCAAGTCGATTGCAAAACACGCTGTTGTTCAGCATATTATTAAGGAATTAAGTATAAAAAACCATTCTGCAACACATTTGCTGATGAAATAGATCAGCGACACTAAAGATGAAACTTGTCTCAAGGACAATGAGTATATCAATGGCATGGAATTCAAAACCAAAGAAAATCACTCAAGAAAATGAGCCCCTTAGGTTACAGGGCCAAACTGTGATTGGCACTTTCCAAGCCTATCCTCTCTACTCCAGCCCTTTGTGTACTTCCCTTGTGGCTTTCATGATTCTTACAAATGGCTTGGAAAGTACTGTAGCATCCGAGGTGCAGCGTGATGGGTGAATGCCTGAAAACACGTTAGAGGCATCTTATGCAATTGGGAGTATTTTGAGCAGCAATATTGATTTCTGGCCTCAATATGTACCAAATCGAAGCAACTGAGATGTGATTTAATAGATATAAATTGAGCCACAAGTTAATATCCACAGGTCATAAATGAATGGTAATGAGAAAAACTGTGAATGCTATATACAATAATGTGAATATGCAAACCTGCTGGGAGAGAGGCTTTAAGGAAGATACATTATGTTACAAAAATGTTTTTTGTTATCTATAGAGGGAAATACAATATTTCAGAAAGTGGAAAGAATACCTGAATTAGTCATGTGTTATTTAACAATGTATACTTTAACGGGCTACATGTGGGAGTCTAAAGATGAGAAGTAAATACATTAAATTAGCCCAGTTCTTCATATTAATCTTACATATCACACCCACCTTAGAATGGATACAGCCATCATTTCCAAACTCCCAGTATTGATATTTATTGTTTTTGTCTCTGTAAAAGAAATATTTCTTAAGTTACAGTTTTGTTTTAAACAACATATTTTGTATATCACGAAACTGAAAATACATAATTCTAAGCTTGTTTCCTTTAGAAATAATTTCACTATATTCATTTGGGAAATTATCAGTACATGTGTACAGAACTGCAGATTTAATTATCCTGGTTGCTGTTATATGCGGTCAAATCGAAAGCAACTTATAACAACCCTAATAGAGCTTTCCAGGTAAGTGAGATATTTCAGGAGCGGCTTTACCAGTTCCACACCCTTTGTGAGTTTCCATGGCTTAGTGGGGATTCGAACGCAGGCTTCCCAACCCCTAGTCCATCACTCTAACAAACTACATTGCACTGACTGTCCAGTCATTTATCAATCACTAATTAAATGCCAGTCTGGTAAGTTTACTGTTCAAAGAAATCTTGTGTGCTATCTGTTTCAATAGAAATTTTCTAAACAGGGGATGCATACAAGGAAGGTGAATTAATCATTTTCTTATCAAAAAGAATACTACTCATATTATTTAGGGCATCGTTTCTTGGATGCATCATATAGAGAAATTTTACAAATGTCTCGCTCCTCAGATAGGCATATGTTTTGGACACTTAAAACTGCAGACAATCTCTATTACTGTTTTCAGAGAAGATGAGGAACCCTCTTCCCCTATGTTCAAGTTATTTTTTGGGGGACTTCTGGCTATTTTTATGCAGCATGGCAGGGAGCACAGGACCATGAATTTCAACAGCCTATCATTTTACAAAGGGTCTGAATACGCACAGTTGGGTTGGATCCAATGTCAACAAATCTACTCGAGGTATGTCTTGAGATTGGACTTTTCTCCATCCATTAGATTAAGTCTTAATTAGACCTGAGTTCCAGCATTGACTAGAGTCATGAGAAGAATTCTTTAATTCTCATACTTCAGGGGAAACAATTCAAAGAGGCAAAAAAAATTTCAGAGTGAATCAACACAGTCGAGTCAACACTGTTCTTGAGCCTCTAAGGGCCTTGGCAAGGTAAATCTGTGCTACACTAAGAAGCTCACAAGAGGATCAGCTGAAAGTTATATATGTGATTATCACCATATAAGATATGAATTCTTCCTTTAATACAACCTTAAACAAACTAAGCCAGAACTCAGTATACACTGTGTTATTTGTATTAGACTAGAGCAGTAAAATCTATCTTGCTGAAAAAAATGTGTAAATTTAGCTCTTATCTAATCTTGATTTTGTCTGATTTGATATGTTGATTCTGGCAGAAGATGTAAAAAAATCACTGTGGGCTGAGGACAAAAGTAAGTACAGATGGATGTGGATTTAATTTTACAGCCTTGGCAGGTATTAAATAATAGGTGGTAATGCCGAGTGACGTCCTAATTATCCGTTTGATAGAACATGGCATCCCAAATCATAAACAGTATTGAATTCAGAAGGTTGTAGAGACTGAGTTGGATCTTAATTTGGATTAATAGGAGGAAATGTGTGTAAAGGGACTTTCATTCTCCTCAAAGCTTCTCTGCCTTTCTCCTCTCCAGAAGATCAGACAACTTTCAGAAAAGAAGACAGTAGCACAAGAGGGAGTGGGTACAAGAGAACTTTCCCCCAGAGCAGGTTCACAATGTGTGTTGCAGCAACTCCACCCAATTTATCTCCTCCAGATAGATTTTTCAGGGGATCGGGGGGGGAGGGGTTGGGGAAAGACATAAGTGATTAGAAGTTTTCTCATCACTTTGTCATTTTATTACTGCTGTGTTTCCTTCCATTTATATGTTCAGCTCAGAGCTGTGTAATTCATATTCCAAATCTAAAGTGGAATCAATACCAAAAGATATTCCAATCTAACATGTCTTAGCTTTAGCCAAGTAGATGCAGATCACTTTTCTTCTTGCCCTCAACCTCATCCAGTATCTCAAAAAGTAAACTTAACAACAATTTGGAATATCTCCTGCAGAATATATGCCTGCAAGAAGCAACATGTTCACAGCCACAAGGATTCATATCTGCCACACTCTCGGGATGTTACACAATGCCCTTATAAGGCTGATGTGCCATAAGCATTTTTTGTAGATTCCTGGGAATAACCACCAGGTAGGACACCTTCATTCTGAATAAGCAGGTTTACAATTGCAATAAAAAATAACTTCTAACATGAAAAAAGTCCTGCTGGTAGATGGCTTTCTTCTCTGCTTTCTGTGTTGTTCCAATGCAAACCAAAGAAATGAACATGTGAGTACCAAAACATTTGTAACAGCAACAATTTTCTGAGAGAAGGGTTGCATTTTTTGACAGAATTGCAAGGGTACCAATATTTTTGGACATGACTGTAGATCTATCTTATCGATGGAGGCCCAAATGGTATGAAATACGTTTGACAAGCCCTAGCTGGTGCAAACTCTCAATAACAGCCAGACTAAAGGTATCCAAGTTCTGTTCACCTCCAGCTTTGATTGCTGTAATTCATTTTCATGCAGATCAGTCACTGCAGATCACTCAGAAATAAAGTAGACAGCTACTATGCTACACTGGAAACATTTATTGGGAACATACTGAACCATGCCAGTACTTTAAGTTCCTGGTCTCAAAGTAAAGAATATATTTAAAATCTTACATGACTTAAGACTTGATACTCCGATAAAGATTTTTCTCCCATGCCAGCCTGCTTGTAAATTGAGATCAGCCTTAAAGAGTCTCCCTTCAGTCAACTGACAGGAAAAGGGTTACACTCTTTTCATCTTATTTATATCCTGGAGGGGCTGTGCAGGTAACCTAGGTCTGTGATGCCAAAATGTAAATGCCTGTCCTCATGATAAAGCAGTGACATATCCACCAAAAAATCAAGCTGAATTTTATTTATTTGTTTGTTTCTTTGATTTATATCCCGCCCATTTGGTAGATTCTACCACTCTGGGCGGCTTCCAACATAAAATATGTGCATTAAATCAGTACAAACATTATAACATAATTCATAACAGATACAGTGCCTAAGATATAAAAATAAAATAAAATAATAAATAGGGGAAAAGAAAAGAGAATCAAGAACTGATAGGAGGGAAGGCCTGGATGAACATCCATGTTTTCAGTTGGCTTTTAAAAGTACCCAGCGTAGGGGCCTCGCGAATCTCCGGTGGGAGGTTATTCCAGAGGCGAGGAGCCACCGCCGAGAAGACCCGGTTTCGTGTCTTTTCCCTCTGGGCCTCCCTCGGCGTCAGGCTCCTCAGCCTCCCCTTCTGGCTTGCGCGGGTGAGCCAGATAGATCTTGGTGGGAGCAGGCATTCCGTCAGGTATCAATGTCCTAAACTGTTTAGGGCCTTATAAGTAAGCATCAAAACTCTGAAGTCAATGCGGAAACGGATGGGCAGCCACTGCAGCATGGCCAGAGTAGGAGATATGTTGGTGTTTTCTCACTCTAGTAAGGAGTCTGGCCGCTGCATTCTGCACCACCTGAAGTTTCCGCATCAGCCTCAAAGGCAGCCCCACATAGAG